GTAATTTTTACAATAAAGCATTGTTGCCCAAATGCCAGGGGCAAGAGAGGTGACTAATGTGTCACTTTATCTAGGTCAAAGGAACAAAGACACAAGATATTCTGCTGAGAGCAAGATAAAAACTTGTTTATGGAATGAAACGTGTTTATGACATCTAGTAACCTCACATTAGGAGATAAAAACCTGCCTTCTGGACATCTAAGTTAGAAATCCTTAAGTCTGGGGGAGATGAAAAGAGGTTTTGGGGTAGATAACAAGCAAAAGTGTGACTTTTCAGATAACGAATATGGTGGTTGAACGTGACTCTATTATCCTTGCGGAAACCTTCTGCTAGCTCCTCCTGTGGTGGGTGTGTGCGCCGTCCACTATTGGACAGCTTCCAGAAAATGGGTTTATAAGGCGGAAGTCTGGGCGAGACCAGTAGAAGCTCCCCTTAGTGGCCAGGCCACTGATGCTGGGATTTTTGCCAAGGCTATATGTGCTCATCGACTGATCGTGCCTACGGCTTTTCTGTGACCCCCTGGGCAGTTTGGTTCCAATGGGATTTGTTCCTTCCCACTTCCACATAGCTTTGGTAATGTATTAATTCTATGCTGTGATGCTGTCAAATGATGTGTCTATTTCATGCTGTAATGCTCAAACTCTTACTGGTGTGTGTTATTATACAGATTGTGATGACTATAATATATATCCTCCTGTGTGTCGTGTGATAATAAAAGTGGAGATTTGGACAGTGCAAGAATATTGCAGTTGGATTCTGTTATTTCTTGGAGTGCTGGGTGAATGCATGATGTGCCATGGCAGGTGTTCATTTGGTAGATGTCTTTCACATGCGTAGAATATGTAATGGTTTAAATGCTGATTAAAAGGTACCTGTATGACTACATGTTGATTGTGTGCGTGTACATTACTTGTTTTTAGTCATTGCACCCAACATTTTTTATTACAGAAGGGAACGCAGAAGTTTCTTCTAGCTCAATGTTCCCGCTTCTTGTGCTCTCTTCTTCTGGTTCTTGCTATTTTTCTTATTAAACTTAGTGTCTGTAAATGGCAGTCCTTTAGACTTGAATTTCTTTCCATGTAGAAAGTATCATGGACCAGAAGTAGAGGGTTCCTGGACCAGAAGCTCTGAACTAATGGGAACTGCTGTTCTCCTGTCAGTTTTCAGAGAGCTGTTTCCCAGAAAAGAATGTTTGAAGCAGGGGCGGACTGACAGCTCATGGGGCCCCCGGGCAATAGGGGATCATGGGGCCCCTGTGTCCTTGCCCAAACTCAAAAAAGCCTATGAAAAAGGTACCAGGGGCATCTCATGGGGCCCCCTACTGACCCCAGTGCCCGAGTTTCCAAATGGTCAGTCCGCCCCTGGTTTGAAGATACATGTAATTAATACATTACACTTACCGCTGTCCTTTCCAATTATATTTCCAATTATTTTTCCTGTAGAGGTTCTTTAACCCCTTGACGCTGACGTAACACAAACATGCGGCCTCACGGACCTGGGCTTTTTTCCGTGGGGCCGCATATTTGCGTACCTGTCTTTGTGCTGGGAGCGCGCCGCTCGGCGCACTCCCAGCACCGAGACTGCGGTGTCACTGAGAGCCCCGGGTCCCGTTCTAACGATCGAGACCCGGGACTCCCGAATCCGGGTCACGTGATCGCTGTGATAGCCTCTGATTGGCTATCACAGTGATCAGTCACTGTGCAGCCCGGCCCCCTTGTTTTCTCTCTCTCTATGAATGGAGAAGAGAGATGCATTGTATCTCTCGAACTCCTGACAGAGAGATAAAAAAAAAAGTTTGTAAACAAAAAAAAAAAAAGATAAATAAATAAATATTAAAAAATAAAATAAAAAATAAAGAAAAATACCTAGATCAAAGTTTGATCTAGTTCAGTACCAGGGTTAGTGTTTGAGTCAAGGTCAGGGTCAAAGGTCAGGGTCAAAGGTCAGGATATAAAAAAATTAGTATCAGTGTCAGTTAGTGTTAATGTCAGTGTCAGTGACAGTGTGTTTTGTGTAAAAAAAAAAACCACAAAAACAAAATGCGCACTATTGTTTCTGGGCTGTACTACGGGTACAAACAACAAATAACATACACATATATGGTATCGCTGCGATCGTCAAGAACTGGAGAATTTATTTTGGGTTGTTCTTTGGTGGTAGGTTATGGTCGTAACAAGAACCACAGTTAAATTAAAAAAAACGATTTTTTTTTACTATTTTGGCCCAGTTTTCCTTTATAATAAAAAAAAAAATTAGGAGCTATCCATTACCATTTACCACCAAATGAAAGCCCAATTTGTCCTGAAAAAAACAAGGTATAATTCACCTGGATGTACAAAGTAGTTGTGATGATATGTACGGTTTTACTAACACATGTCAACGTTGCAGAATTGTGCTTAGGCATTTAGATTTGTTTTACCCTTAGGCGTGAAGGGGTTAAGGTAATTTTAGTGAACTTTCTGACCTCAGCACAGCTAATCTGTTTGGTGGATAGAATTATTAGCTCCCTGAATGCTTTTCCTTTTTGCTTGGAATCTTTAACCACATAAGGTCAAGAGCTATGCCCTCTACAATTGTATCTAAGAACTAAGAAATGTAACTTAGGTTACATTTATATGCCTTACAACACAAGTGTCAAACTGGCAGCCCTCCAGCTGTTGCCAAACTACAAGTCCCATGAGGCATTGCAAGATTGACAATTACAAGCATGACTCCCAAAGGCAGAGGCATGATGGAACTTGTAGTTTCACAACAGTTTGACACCCCTGGCTTACAATATCCCCTGGCTGGGAATGCTCCAATGGGTGTTGCAACTGGGATGTATCAGTTTAGTAGATGCTGACAGTGTCTCTGCCACAGTGGTCAGTATGTTACACTGATCACTGACACATACAATATAATTTCTATTTTTTTTTTTACATTTTAACTAGCTCCAGCTGTCAGGAAAGGTTAATATAAGACAGTGGTTCCAAATCTCTTGGGTACTCCTTATGAATTCATTTGCATAAATTGTACCCCTCAATGGAAGTGGGGCTGAGGATGGAGTAGGGCACAGGTGTCAAACTGGCAGCCCTCCAGCTGTTGCCAAACTACAAGTCCCATGAGGCATTGCAATATTGACAGTTACAAGCATGACTCCCAAAGGCAAGATGGGACTTGTAGTTTTGCAACAGCTGGAGGGCCGTCAGTTTGACACCCCTGGAGTAGGGAGTGTGGCCAATAGCAGTGCAAGTAGCATGCTGCACTGAATTGTGGGTGTGGAAAAATTGCAGTAACACTGGGAAGAACAAATATGTCAAGGGGATGAAGAAGGGAGCTGGGAGGCTTGGGTAGTGGGCTCCATTGCAATGGTTTGTTCAGTATCTTCTTTGGGCCTGCTTGGGATGCAGCCTTTGACATTGGATTCTATGGATCTGGGGATTCTCTGGGGTTTTGGGGCTGCCGTGGGTTGGAGGATTAGGCATTACTCCATGATGGGTGTCTGGACCATGGAGGATGAAGATAGAGTAAGGGTACAGTCTGGTGACTCTCCTGTATTTTGAAGTTCAGGGAGGGGCACAGCAGTGCTTTCAGTGTAGTGGAGGAGATCAATGCTGCATAGTAGATTGGGTCTCATCTGTTGGAAGCACCTTAATGGACTGGTGGTCAGTACAACCCTGAGGAGAGGTGTTCTGAACTTCCTAACCCACTCTCCATGGAGTTTGAGTGAAACCTCATAAACTCCCTTTGTTTACATTTAAAAGTGACTGGCGCCTATCTGTTCATCTTTTCCACTATTGCCTGCGAACTACACCCTGAGGTGAAATGTCAGCCCTCCCTTTCTCTGGTTGGTACACCACTTGCCCTTGGTGGTCGGGGGGCTTGGCACATTAAGATAGTTACAAATATGTAAGAAAAAAAAAGTTTAATCTTTTTAAAATAAAATTCTTTCCTATTTAACTATTTAACTATTTTTTTGAAAATTAAAGTAAATACAATGTGTTGTAATTTTAACACTTACAGTGCTTCGAAAAAGTATTCATACCTCTTGAAATTTTCCACATTTTGTCATGTTACAACCAAAAACGTAATTGTATTTTATTGGGATTTTATATGGTAGACTAACACAAAGTGGCACATACTTGAGAAGTGGAAGAAAAATGATAAATGGTTTTCAAAATTTTTTACAAATAAACATCTGAAAAGTGAATCCCAAAATAGATTCTGCTACTCTTGCTGGGTATAACGATACTACATATGTGAGATTTTTTTCACTGTTCGGATTAGGTATGGTTAGAGTTAGGCTTGATTTTCAAGTAGCACATATGTTTGACTCAAGCATCGACCGCCTGTGTGTTTGGCGAACACACGAACGGTAAAGGAGCCCCACAATGCACTGCGTCCTGACAGTGCATTTTGATTGGCCAAAGTAATGCACCTGACCACAGGTCAGGTGCAATGTTTGGCCAATCACAGCACCTGATGATGTCACAAGGGAGCAGGGTCACCCAGTTGATATCACTGGGTGGCCCCGCTCCTTAGATATTTAACCACCAGCCTACAGGGCACTTATACCCCCTTCCTGCCCAGGCCAATTTCCAGCTTTCAGTGCTGTTGCACTTTGAATGACAATTGCGCGGTCATGCAACATTGCACCCATATAACATTTTTATTATTTTTTTTGTGACAGATAGAGCTTTATTTTGGTCATATTTAATCACCTCTGGGTTTTTTATTTTTTCTTAAACAAACCAAAAACCACTGAAAATTTTGAAAATAAAAAACGTTTTTTCTTAGTTTTTGTTATAAAATTTTGTAAATAAGTGATTTTTCTCCTTCACTGATGTGCGCTATTGAGGCTTCAGTGATGGGCACTGATAGGCGGCACTGATGGACACTGATAGGTGGCACTGATAGGCACTGATGAGGAGGCACTGGTAGGTGGCACTGATGGCATTGACAGGCATCACTGATGGGCACTGAAAGGCAGCACTCATATATGGCACTGATAGGTGGCACTGATAGGCGGCACTGACTGGCACTGATAGGCGGCACTGACTGGCACTGTTAGGTGGCACTGACTGGCACTCTTAGGCAGCACTGATAGGCAGCACTGACGGGCACTGATAGGTGGCACTGATGCACACTGATAGGTAGCACTGACTGCCACTGATAGGTGGCACTGACTGGCACGGATAGGTGGCACTGATTGGCAGCACTGATAGGTGTCACTGACTGGCATTGATAGGTGGCAATGACTGGCACTGATGGGTGAGACTGAAAGGCAGCTCAGATGGGCACTGATATGTGGCATTGATGTGGCACTGATGGGCACTGAAATGTGACACTGATGTGGCACTGATGGGCACTGGCAGGTGGCATGGATGAGCACTGAGAGCTGGCACTGATGGACACTGACAGGTGGCGCTGCTGGGGCTACACAGATCATCAGGGCACACTGATCATCAGTGCTCTGATGATCTGTGTACATATCCCCTCCAAGGAATGCCGATTACCAGTTCTCCTCTCCTCACGAGCTGTCAGTGTGACAGCTCGTGGGGAGTGAAATGCAGATAACCGGCATTTCCCTGTTTACATGTGATCATCTGTGATTGGACACAGCTGCTCACATGACCGAGCCGACATCTTCAGCTTTTTCTGTGGATCGGTGATCCGCTGTGTCACAGCGCACCGCCGATCGCCGCACTGCACACTACGGGAGCCGCGCATGCGCGGTTAGAATGAGAGAACGTCATATGACGTCTTTCCAGAAAGAGAGAACCACCTTGCATCCGTCATATTACTATATGGCGGGTAGGAGGTGGTTAAGAACTGTCAGGCCAGTGTAGCTGTCAGGAGCCAGCTGAGCATTTTTTTTTTCAGGTGGGTGGTGGTGGCAGGCTTCATGGTTGACATTGGATCTACTTCGGGGGATTTGTTTTTGTTTTGTCTTTAATAGAGGACTTGTCAAAGACTTCTGTCATTTTTTTACACTACAAATTTTTTTTGTGAATGAGTAGCGGAACCATGTACCCCATACTCATTTACATAGAGGGGGGCCAGATTCTGGGGGCCCCCTTGTTAAAGAGGGTTTCCAGATTCCAATAAGACCCCCACAACCACCAGCCACGGTTGTGGGGAAGAGGCCCTTGTCCCTATCACCAACTCCCCATGTTGAGGGCATGTGGCCTGCTATGATTTGGGGGAGAGGGGTGCACGTCCGCTGACAGCTGAAACGTTCAAGAATGTTTTTCACTACTACTAAACTACCGCATACTTAATAATATAACTAATACGATATTTTAGTAGCTGTGCGGTATCTTACTGCATACTCGGATGTGGAAAGATACCGCTTAGTGAATTGTCCCGATTTGAAGTTCACGATCGATTTTTCATTTGAATATTCTACTGTGAACCGAACAGGGGGGTGTCCGGCCCACCACTAATTATGGTACCTTTTAATAGCATGATTAGATTATGACAGTGCTGATAGGAAATTTAATTTAAAAAAAAAAACAACCACAACAACTTTGTGGACAATATTTAAATGACAAGACTAGTGTTACAGTGATGGTGATACCAGGAATGGTAGCAAAGGAAGCAGTCCATTATGTATAGGCCATGCTGTGAGGGACAGTAGGGACAACAGTAACCCCTGTCATGCCATATTCTATCTTTGCTGCATATACAGGGAAGGGATAACATCAGGGAAATGTCTCTCATGCAGCCTAATGACATCATCCAATTAAATCCTTTCGGGTGGCAGGTCCTCTTAGCAAATTTGAGAATTTTTTCAAAGACTGATCTTCCTGCAGATTTATAAACGACATATAAATTGTACATGGCCAATTGAAATAAATAAATGAACCCTCTTTTTGGGACCACTACCCTATTCTACCGGTTTTCAGGTAAAACTTCATCGTCTGGTCTTTTTAACCCCTTGTTGTCCAGGCCAATTTTGACATTTTTCACATACATGTTAAGATTAACATTTTTTGCTAGAAAATTACTAAAAACCCCCAACCATTATATATTTTATGAAAGCAGTGGCCCTAGAAAATAAAATGGAAAACCAGTGTACACAGGGAGTAGGTGCTGTTGATAGGTTATGCCAGTGGAGGGTATCATCCATTTTGAAACCATAATTGTAAACAAACACCAAATGATGGGACTTTAAATACCCCTCCAAGAGTCAAATATGCGCATAACAACCTTATTAAAAATATTTTACAATGCTATATTCCACTGGTATAAAAACATGATTACATTAAAAACGTTAGTAACATAGAACGTAGAATCTGTCCATTATCTCCCACATATAGTGGTGAAGGAGCTGCTGCTCTGGAGTCCTTTGGAGATCTGAACTGTAGGTCGACACGTTTTGTGGGGTAACACGCTTCTTCAGGACCTTAGATAATGATAAAAAGCATTTTCTTCCCAGCTTTTTCCAGATGCTGGGATGCTGCCATCTTCATTGGCCTGTAGGGAATGGCTTCACTCCTATACAAGGCCAGGAGTTCAGTCATTACACCACACTAGATCTGTGCTGCATTGTAAACTGAGCTATGCATTCTAAGGAAGAACCTAAAGTGTTACTAAACCCACAACAGTAAAAGCAGTCTGTATATGCAGCAAATCATGCGTGTTATACTCACTGTGGAACCTACAGGGTTAATCCTTTGCATTGTGTAAACAGGGTGTTTGATCCTGACTTCTTTGATCCTCCCCTTCTTCCCGTGTCCCCCTCTTATCTCCTGATAAGACATATTGTGTGGAGACACTCTGCATATGCTCAGTTTGGTGTGCAGTGCTAGAGAGGTTGTTTTTCTTGGGAGAGTGCATGTGATCAGCACAGGGCCATCCAGCACTGTCCAGACAGAGGTCGGGGTTCTGCATCCTCCTAGAGCAAAATGAAAACTTCTCCTACAAGATTTAACCAGTGCTCAGCTGGACACTGATAGAAGTCACAAGACTCTAGCTGCTGATGAGAAAAGGTATTTAGCAGTTTATATTTACTAAAATAATTGCATTTCCATGTTCTGTGTACTGTGGGAGGCCAGATAGTGTGAATGCAGGGTCTTGGGCTTAGTAACACTTTAAATGCATTTTAGTGCACATAAACACAATATAATACCCATTTTTTTGTAAAATGTAAAATACAAAAGATTTAATATTAGGATTTTAAATTTTGCATGCCTTTGAAATGGTGGAAAATTATGGGATCTAAAAATCTCTATAGGTGGCACTTGAAAAGCCTTAACAGTTTACCAGTTTAGAGTTAAACATGAGCTCTGGTGCTAGAAATATTGCAATCACTCTGATGTTCACGGTGATACTTCATATGTGTGTTGCAATCGCTGATCCCTCCTCTTCCCTCCAAGGCAGCTTATCAAACCTGGATTGGTTTGATCGGTTGTCTCCCTGGCTGGTAACAGGCAGGTAAACTCAAAACCTAAACCAGAATTAATGGAATCCTGGTCTTCCATTTTCATTCATTACAACATCCATTCCTCCTTCTCCTCTGTGGCAGCCAGCCCAACAGGTTTTAGCAGTCTTTGGGCTCCCTGGTGGAATGGGAAAGCCCAGGAATGGTGGCAGGAGGCAGCTGGAGGGGGGCTCCCTTCCAAGCCCTGTAAAAGTGATTGTGTAGATGTAGAGCCATTTGGATCACTTGGGAATACCCCCCAAATGACCCATTTTTGAAAAATAGACAGTCCAAGGTATTTAGTAAGAGGCATGGTGAGTTTTTTTGAAGTTGCAATTTTTTGTTACAATTTTTTGGGAGAAACGTAGAAATTAAAAAAAAATCACATTTTTTTTTTCCACATATTGTCTCCAGTCCAGCACAGCATTATTATATAACTGGTGTGGCGGTGATCAGGGGACACTGACTGGTGACAGTATGTAATAAAAAAAAAATAAGCTGTGATTGGGCAAAGCACATCCCATGATACAGATGGGCTGTGATTGGACCTGTCTGTACCATGTGACTGCTTTGACCAATCACAGCTAACAACACAATTGTATACAATGGATGGCATGTCAGGAAGCCATCCATTGTATACAATTGTCATGTGATCTGCTGTGATTGGTCACTGTGGACACAAGATACTTGCAACGGGTCATTGTAGAGTTATGTCAGCTGTGGACACAGCTGGTGACAGATTGTGTGTTTGCTCGGCTCTACGGCCACGTGAGCGGCTCCTTCTGACAGGACATCATGTGACGCCCACTCAGAAGGAGAAGTGTCCCACCAATCTGCTATAGGCCAGGCGGGAAAGTGTTAAAGGGATTCTGCTCTCATGGCTCTAAGAAAGGAAGTGACAGTTAACTATTACTACTACTTTAAGGCTGAAGTCTACTGATTGCTACAAGCACAGACTTTATTATAGCTTGTCCTGAAGAATACTTGAGTCCTCAAGTGTACATAGTTCTTGTCTTTGGTGTATTCCACTTAATTCCCTCAACCCTATCCAAGTTCTCCAAAAAAAAAAACACAAAAAACAACACCCCTAGACTGGTCATCGAAGTAACATTTTTATGAGCCTGTGTGCCTGGCTGTGGGGCAAAGACTGTGGGGAAACCCACAGTTTTCCTGTAGTTCCTCTGGGAGTAGCGTTACATTTTTTTAGGAAATAGGTGTTATTAGTGATTCAATAGACCTAGAGTTGAAAGCAAAAATGACTCTGGTGCTTTAACAGTTGAGAGAGGAAAATTATTATGGAACAACTCCAGCTCATTAAAAGTACTACCACAAACTGAATTTATTCGATCATTAATACCAAGTTCATACAAGTTTTGAATAGAATTACATATTAAAAAAACAACTACTAAACTTCTCACATATAGAGTCCAACAAAAATGTTAGTATTTAGTGTCAGATGATATATCTCAGTATTTATTATACAAATCAGGCAAGAACAGCAGAACACTTTGACATAGTGTCAAACCAGTCTTCATTTTATGAAATATCAAATACAGTTTGCACTAATTTAAAAAAAAAACATGTAGATTGCTTATACTGTAGGTAGTGAAGAACTGGTTCTCCATTCTTGAGCACAAGGCCACTGGCAACCTGTGTGAGTTGGATGAGAATCAGTAGCAGTATCAGCATTCAGAATGAACATGTCTCCCGAGTCTTTTCCTTCCTCCTATCTGATGTCCGTTAACAGTCCCCGCCTACCCTAAAACACTACATTGGGTTTCAACTACTAGGAATGCGTTTTGGGGAAAGCTTCCCCTTCAACAGCCTGGCGATAGAGTTGACTTGATCCACAACTTACATCCCCCTAATTGCTTGCAATGTTCTGCTTATGCATGTAGTTCATCCCCAGAACTAACACAGAAACTAAATTGTATGCAAGTATTTTCCTTACAAAGTT